TTGACTTCTTTATAAATCAAAAACATATAAAATTACAATGTGTATTGTTTGCATCCCATGTTGCACATAACCTCTGTTTTTTTTTTTTTTTTTTTTTCATCCACCATCTCTGGTCGTCTGCTTCCCTCATCATCAACGACCTGTTGTCACGGCAGCCTGTGTCCCATCTCTCATTGCCTGCAGCCCATCTGCCCGACATCTGTCTTTGTTAGTCAACATCATGGTGTGCTCCATCTTCAGCGCTCTGCCATTCATCATAGTTCCTTCAAACTGTGCCAGCACCTGGGTTTTGGAGTTGCCAAGCTGAGGCGTGACGTGCAGGTCTGGGTCTTATTAGAGCTCTGTTGACTCTCTCCTCTGCCCCGTCTGAGCCTCTCCATCAGTCTCTTTCTCCCAGTTGATCTGGAAGTGATCAGCCTTGTCGAGGACAGCTTTAGCCACTGTTTCTTTTCCTTGCCTCCAGATAACTGTTGGCTGTATCTGTTTAATGATGATGGATASTTTCACACAGAGTACTGCTTTTGTTTTTGTCTCTGTTTCCTTTTGGTGTTTTTACTTACATTCTGCTTTCATTTCCTTTGTCTTTTTTTTCTCCTCTATCACTGTCTTTGCTGTCATGCTTCCTCTCCATCCTCYTCTCAGGTGGAGTATGATGGCCTAACAGGGCGAGTCGAGTTCAACAGCAAAGGTCAGAGGACCAACTACACCCTGCGGATCCTAGAGAAGCACAGAGGAGGCCACAAAGAGGTCAGGAGCCACCTGTTGTGATGTAACAACCAGGTCACAGTGGCCATAGGCTTTGGGTTAGTTTCAGGTCACCTGTATGATTTCACAAAGCCTGTGGAAGCGTTTCACACTGAGGTCATCCTCATCACAGACTTTCCTCATGGTGCCCAGAGCTGAGTTGTATGAAGCTGACATGTATTTCACCTGACAGKGCTTTATAGCTACCTGTTTGCAGATCTAAATATATGTTAATATTCGAATGCTTCTGGAATAGATGAGCTGCATTAACCTTCAGYTCTGATTCGAATCATTGCTCGTCTTTTTAGAAACTCATTTACATCTTTTACTGTCCTGTTTAATCAACTGCTGCTGAATGTCAACTACATGTTTTGCAAWATAAGTACATGATTCATTAGTATTTGTTGTTTTTTTGTTTTATGACTATAATAAAATTTGCACTTTTTAAAACTTCATGTTGCATTTAAACTGTCAGCAGAGTTTAACTTGTTTGTTTTGCATGGAACCAATGTGTTGCTTTTAAAATTATTTTTTCCACAATGCCCTGGAATAACTTGATGCCAGTCATTAAAGGTTTTATGCAAGAAAATGTTTTTTTTATTATTATTAATTTTTTCATTTACAACCAAACACAAAATTAAGAAACAAACAACCAAACTAAATAAATTTCAACTGGAACAAATTCTGGTTAATGAATGCAACTGTGAAGTTAGGAGTACGTTTTAATATTTTTACATGATATTTTATCTGTTATTGTTCAACTTTTTATCCTGAGTAGCATAATGCACAAACAGAAGCTGAATTATAATTAAATAACATTCTTGAAACTTTGAGCAGCTTAGGCTATATTTAATGATGTAAAATACATATAAAAAATGATACCTTTTTAAAGTTTGCCCACATTTGTCTCTAAAAGCTTCTGAAAATACAAAGCACACTGATAAAGCACTGAACCAGTCTTTAAAAACTTATTTAACTGGATCGAGGTAATCTTGCCATTTGAACATTTGACCCAGAAAATTTTCTCTTATTTGAGCCGTTTTTGGAACCAAAACAAAATGCTGGAAGGCCAAATCCACTGGAGTGTGATGAAGTGTTATTTCACTGTGGCCTCCTTCAGTAAGCATGAGTGAGAACTGAGACAAAAGATGTAACATTAGACAAAGCAAAGTCAAAGTGACGCTTTAAGCGGAAGAAGTTTGTGGACTGCAGGAAACTCTACACCTCCGCTTAGTGTGTCTTCCAGATCTCCGTCTCTCATGCTTAAACAAAATGTCATTTTCTCACTTAGAGCTAAACTCGAACTCAGTGGAGAGTTTGGCTGCAGTAATTAACATTTTAACTCTGCCCACCTCTTTGTGTGGCGACATCCAGTGCAGGCCAGCGGCAGAGGTTCGCAGATAAAAGACCACTCTTAAATGTCAGTGCCGGATAAAAACTGTAATAGAAAAGCTGCGATTCGGTCTGTGGAGCCATTACCTTTCTTCTGACCCACTGAAAAATGTGCAGTAATAATCCTAAAGAAATGCCTCCGTGAGCATCTGATCCACCCTGCACATCAGAGAGGTCATAATCACACACTTACGTTCCTAAGTGACTTTACCGTCTCTGTGTTGTGCAATTTGAGAAAGGTGTGAGCAAAGGAAAAAGACGTGAAATAAAGCAGTTGATCATGAAAGCTTTTCATTATTGTCTAAGCCGTCTTGTTCTCAGTTCATTGCTTTGCTTGTAAATAGCATTTGCTTTATAACAGCGCATATTGCTGCGAGTATTATTTGGCTCCTGTGGGAGCCATCACGTCAGCATAGATATACAGTATGTAACGATATGAATACTAAAGCCAAAGTCTAAAAAAAGTACATGTACTGGTGTTTGCATTATAAAATAGACCACCAGGATTGATGTTCTGACTGATAAACTTGAGCGTGTAGCATCACAAGATAAAAACAAGTGCAGTGAAGCTTAACAGTACATTATTTATATCGTAATAGTTATTGATTTTCTCTTGCTTTGTATTCTCTGTCAGATTGGGATCTGGTACTCCAACAACACTTTGGCAATGAACTCCACCAGCTTGGATATTAATGTCTCAGAGACTCTGGCAAACAAGACCCTCATTGTCACCACAATTCTGGTAAGGTCACAGTTACCTCATAAGTGTCCACGCTGTCGAGGGTTGTTTTTGTGCTCCTACACACTCTGTGCTGGAGCTCGTGCTGTGTTTTGGTCTGTTTCTGGCAATTTAGCTGTCGCTGTAGCTGTCACAGAAACTGACGGAGCTCTGAGAAGAATGTGTTACTTAAATGAGACTGCCAAAAGGCTGCTCTTCTAATAACAATGTCCTTCTGTCCTCTAGCCCTCTGTGCATTTTTTAGTCATAATAAAATCAGTGATGTTGCTGATCCATCATCTTTATCTGTATCTGTAAAAGTGCATCCATCTTTTCTGAAAGTAATATCATCAAAAAAACATTTTGTCAGTTTGTTCAGATAAAGCAGACAAGTCGATTCTTGTTATTGTCGTCTTGTGGTTGAGAAGTTTTGCATTTATTTTTCTAATGCTATGATTATAGAGCATATTTTGCTTAATGTAATTATGGTACACTCAGTGAGGTTCAGGGAAGATCAATAGGACCTCACTGAATGAGGGGGCCCAAATACCTCCATTTACCACCCTCTCTGCACATTTCTTATTACCAGTCATTACTTTAGATTTTCACATTTTCCTGTCTGTTCAAAGACATACTGTAAAGCAGGAAAAAGCAAGTAAGTATAAAATGGTGTGATTATTTCAGGTTAAAGTTTTTACTTTTATTATTTTTATAAATATAGCACAAAAAGTAAAGAAATTTGTATTTGGTAGATTTTTTTAAAAAATTATACAATGTTTCTTGGCAGTACATCTTAAACCGTGTTAAATGCCATTTTAAATAGTGCCACATTTGTAAGGAACATGCATTTGTGGGATGAGTAGTAGAGATAAGTATGTGGGTTACGCACATGAAAAATTTGTCAAATCTTCTCTGCCAAACAGTTTATTTTGCTCTTGCTATTGACACTTGTTTTGAGCCCATCAGGTGTCTGTTATAAGATTTACTGACACGAAGCATGGTTACAAGAAAGAAATAATTTACCAAGCAAAAATTTCCTTAGCCTTTGTGCCTTTTTTCAACAAACACGATGGTTAATGGTAGATGGCCTGAACTTATATGATAAATTACTGTATATAGGGCTTTACAGCCTGGTTTGGTAACTGTCCAACTCATGAACAAGCTCACCCACATTCATGAAACAATCGGCTTAAAATACTACGGCACAAACCCATGCAGACTATGTATGACCAAGCAGTGATAAGAACAGCAAAAATTGTATCCACTGATCATAAACACCCAACTGTTCTCTGAATATAAATTGCTGCCAGGAAGGAGATTGAAGGTGCCACAGTGTAGGACCAACAGACTGAAACTGTCCTTTGTTCCAGCCTCAATCATTCTGTTGAACACCAGCAAGAGCGTCCTTTCCACGGCATATTAGCACCTTACCATGCTGTGTTTTACAGATGACACCTTATATCGTACCCTCTGTTGCATTGGTGATTGTTTTGTGTTTTATCCTTGTGTGTTGTTTAAAATTTTTTTATTCACAACTGTGTAGCACTTTGGTGGATATTCTATTCTATTCTATTCTATTCTATTCTATTCTATTCTATTCTATTCTATTCTATTCTATTCTATTCTATTCTATCAAGTCCCTGTGAACTCCAAATTGCTTTACACTACAGTCGTTCACACACCAATGGTGGTAGCCACAGCTCTCCTGACAGAGACGAGGCTGACTTGTACCAAAAATAAATAAATAAAGAAAGACTAACATTGTGTTAATGAATTGTATGCAATATCTAGACTAGTTTGTTTTAATCTGAGGAGTAAGTTAGTAGCTCTGGTATAGCTCTCCTAGACCAATATGTTTCATTACCTCTGCTATCAGTCTTTGCAGAAATGGTCATTTTTTTATGATAAGCTTGATGCTTTTACTTTCTCCACATCATTCTTTAAAATAATCAGACTCTCTTAGCGAGAGCCTTGCTGGTACCCAGTTATATCTACATTTGTTTTATTCAATGGCCAGATTCCTCATTCTGAGACTTTTTGCCTCTCTCACCTGCATCTGCCACCATCTTACACTATCAAATTATGTCTTTGAAAGCAATTTAGCATTAGACTTACATATCTGTAGGGCACTTAGAAGAGGCAGATAAAAAATTCATATTACTGAGCCGGGATTCTTTCTCCTCAGGTCTGGTCAGACTCAAGGAAAATACATTTATAGTCTGTCCTTCTCTCTCAACCTTATAATTCACTCTTCCACATTTACAAATTTGACTAATTATTCAGTTTTCAACACAAAAGGCAAGCTGATTTTTATGCATGAGAATGTTGAAATTGATAATTACACTAAATGAAAGTAGAAAGATGCAAAAAAGAGCTAGCAGTTATGTCTGAACATGTTGACTTGTGTGTTTACAAATTAATTGTAGACAATTTTTAAAAAATGATGCCAGTTTTCTCTGTTTATTAAAATGATGGAAGTTAGTATAGCATTGCATGAAAGCAACACTTTCTATGTGCAGAACACATTAATAAAAGAGCTTTTGAAGTGCTGTGTATGGATTTGTGCTACTGTTTCATCCTGTTTCAAACCTCTTACTGATCCATCTTTATCACCTCATGGTTTAACTACATCTTTAATTAACACATCTAAAATCTCAGCTAGAAAGCAAATGAGCCCAGTCTTCAAACCATAAATGATTCATTTAATCCAGTTAATAATCTCTGCTAAAACTGGATGCTTGCTGCTTTGAATTGAGACGTCTCTTGTATCCTCCCCCCGTGCACAGGAGAACCCGTATGTGATGCGTAAAGACAATTACCAAGATCTCGAAGGCAACGACCAGTACGAGGGCTTCTGTGTCGACATGCTGAGGGAGCTGGCAGACATCTTGAAATTCTCCTTCAAGATCAAGCTGGTGGATGATGGGCTGTACGGGGCCCCAGAGCCCAACGGCTCTTGGACCGGCATGGTTGGAGAACTAATCAACAGGGTGAGAAATCTCCAGAATACACAGAAACATGCACAGATTTCAGAAACCCATGACAAACACACAACTCTGTACACACACATACACACACTCGCGTGCCGTAGCCCCAAACCACAACTCTGCTGTAACTTCCCATGTCTCAAATTGCCCTCGGAGGGGAGTGAGACTTTTATCTAGGACAAAAGCTGAATTGATAATTCCCCAAAAGACAGCAGCAAAAAGGCTTGAAATTGCCTGAGCCGCCTTTCCTCGTGGGAAAGCACTACTAACCCCTTTTTTGCACATGTATATAAATATATATTCATATTTTCTTCTCCCTGCCTTGGCCTATTGCGCCTGTGACTGACATTTTGGTTGAAGCAGGCTAATGAGAGACCCTCTCTGTTTAATTACCATCCGGTATACTTCAATTACCAAGCTGAGGTCCCTGTGTGGGGTCTGCCACAGTGGTGCTCCCCCAGCTCTCTGCACTTCCTCTCGCCCGCTGTCCTCCTCGTAGCCTGATCACTCGGCTCTAATTAGTGGCCCGTGTTCATCAATTAGCTTTTAATGGAAGCAATGGCGGGAAGGCAGAACAGCCAGGACCTGCCGTTTTTTTGCAGGTGAGCAGACCAGACACCCAGTGTTTTTCTTCTATTAGACTAATTAGAATCATGGATTGACAGTGAGAGATTCTATACGGCAAAGTTCACTTCTGTATGTTTCATTAAATCTTTTTTTTTCCCCACAGCACAGTCAAAGCTTTGACATTTACTCTAGAGAATCAGCATTTTTTTAAAGAGTGCAGTTTGAGTTGTCTCTCCATTTTTGCACCTGTCCTTTTTTTCTTCTCTCCTTCAATCCTTCTCCTTCTTTTTCTTCCTTCTCATCTTTGCCACTATTTTTCCACCTACCTATTTCTGTCAATCCTTCAGAAAGCAGACCTGGCTGTGGCGGGCTTCACCATCACATCAGAACGAGAGAAAGTTATCGACTTCTCTAAGCCGTTCATGACCCTGGGGATCAGCATCTTGTACCGAGTTCAATTGGTGAGGGTGTTATCTTGGGCTGTAGGGCACCTGCTGGGGGATACCTTCTTCAGGTCTTGTTCTGGACTCCATATATATATTACTCGGGCTTTCCCTATAAGCTCATATTTTAATAAAAGATAAAGAAAACAACCATTGTTAAAATAAAATAAACTGCTTTTTGCATAAAAATTTATCTCTTTTTTTTGAAAGCAGACAGTATCTGTGTGAGTCTACGCTCAACTTTATAGTGATAATTTATTTTTGCACAGTAAGTTAGAGCTCTGTAACGATGGCAGCTTTACATTGCTAATGAGGTTTTGGATCTACTCCAGGCACGCTCCTGCAGAAAGCATTGTTAAACAGAGCATTTATGGATTGTAGGATAAGGGTATCAAAGCACTGCAGACATTGCATTAAAGAGCAGAGAAGGACACTGCCCTCCTGTGGTGCAAAAAGGGAAAACCTTTTACAGCTTCTGTCTGAGTCCATCACTGTCTGTCTCCGTTTCCTCATCTATATACATTTTTTTTCCCTTTATTCGTTTTTCCCTGTTCCAGGGTCGTAAGCCAGGTTACTTCTCTTTCCTCGATCCTTTCTCCCCGGCTGTTTGGCTCTTCATGTTGCTCGCCTACCTGGCTGTCAGCTGCGTGCTCTTCCTGGCAGCAAGGTCAGTACGTTACATCACACTCAGAGTGATTGTCTGGAGCCCTCATCGAAGCTCCGCTGCCATTTAAACACAACCTGTCACACGTTAACACTTCTTACTCCACTCAACCCTCTCTCAGGCAGTTATGAGACAAGTGATAGACTGGCTCGCATTTTTCACCAGATCTGTGTAACAATATTTCTGTTTTTTTGCTTCCTGACCAGGTTGAGCCCCTATGAGTGGTACAACCCTCACCCCTGCCTGCGGGAGCGCAGGGACATGCTGGAGAACCAGTACACCCTGGGAAACAGTTTGTGGTTTCCTGTCGGTGGCTTCATGCAGCAGGGATCAGAGATAATGCCCAGAGCCTTGTCCACCAGATGTGTCAGTGGTGTGTGGTACGTACCAGCTGAATGCCCCCCCCCCCACCTCCACCTCCACACAGAAATATTTGCCCGTCATTGTTTCTTCATTTGAATATTTGACCTTCACTTTGTAGAAAATTGTATGACATAGAGAAGACCGCATTTACATTCATCAGCTGAACGGAAAGTTTTCACTCTGCTCTTTTAAAACTTTAAGACATACAGCGTTTGTGATATGAGTGGGTCTGGAAGCTAATGAGGGAGAAGGAGTCTATGTGCTTGACTTTTTTTTTCTTGTACTACTTGATGATTCTTAGAGCTTCCCTAGAAGCCAACTGGGTTTACTTTTTGATTCTTTCACTTCCAATCAGAGGCTTCATCTTTTTAACATGACTAGAGGGGATTAGCCATCGGAGATATCACTGCTGAGTATCATTCCTTGATTTTTTTTCTTTAAATCTGCTTTCATAACACATGTTAAATTTTCCAGATGGTTAACTAGTTTTATATTACAGCTAAATGAATTCAAGGGAAAACAATGAATTAATGCAAAGCTGACAAAATACGCTGTTGCCTGATTTTCCTCCTGTGGCCACAAAGATACCCGGAACAAATCATGTCTTGAGAACGAAAGAAAAATAGCTAAGAGCTAAAGAGACAAAAAGTGGAAGAGAATAAGAATGAATTACACAACACTATGTGCAATAAAGAAAACACAAAGATGTCAAGAGTTTTCAAGGTTATGGGTGGTGAAATATTGAAGTACGTAAGTGTAAAGCGATATTGGCTGTTTTGGGGATGTTAAATGTAAGAAAATATCAATTTGAAYAGTTGTTCTTTTACAGAATCTGCAATACTTTGTATAAAGGCTCAGTCCAGGGATATATATTACTGTTTTTATTGATTGCTTTGCCCTGCTTGAAGAAACTGGGAACCTCTCAGTCTTCATCATCACCGTCTCAGCAGAGCAGAAGACACCTCTTGCAGTGTGTTAACCCATTGACACAGTTTTCCACCCTTTTGCAAAACAGTTAACGCAGATGTCATTCAAGAAGTCCAAACTCCTCCGTTTTAGCTGTGGTTACAGAGAAACCATCTGCTCCAAGCTCTTAGAAACTCCCTGATCAGAATGAAATCACTGAAAGCCCCTGTTTGRCACTTCTTCACAGAATTTTTCAATTTGCAATCAGTCTGCAGGTGTTGTTCTCTTATACTCTTATAGTATAGGCCTTATGCACATTTTTGTTCTTTACTGTAAAAGACTGTTTTTTATTTACCTAATTTCTCACAGTAAAGGATTTTATTTTTATTTCCATGTATTCTCTGTTGGAATATTTCCTTTGTCAGGCACAGTCTGAAAAAAAAGAATGTAATCAATAAAATTTGCATCAAAGCGTATCTGCTTCTGGATACATTTTTGCAAGAGGGCAAATTTGACTACAAACAGCACTGGCATGTAAGCTACGTACAGTCATAGGCTACAATGACAAGCAATGGTGCATTGATTCACACATGAGTGCTGTTGTTTGTATTTTGTTGCCCATTGTGTAATGTTTGATTGGAGGTGCTCATACATTAAGTCAAGGCTGAGTTGTTTGAGGCAAAATTAGCTTTTGTTCCATATTTTAAATGTTTTGACACAGTTAGTACCTTTTGCAAACAAAATGTGTTATTTTGACCACCGTGACACTGTTTAGGCCTCTGCGTTAACTGTTTTGAAAATGTGGATTTTGGGTTGACAGCTGCGTCAAAACAATCAATAAAAACTGTAACATAGATATGAGTTTTGTTACAGAAATCCTCTACTTTTATCTCCCTTGTCTCAATCTGACAGGTGGGCCTTCACTCTGATTATCATTTCTTCCTACACGGCCAACTTGGCGGCCTTCCTGACCGTTCAGAGGATGGAGGTTCCCATCGAGTCTCCGGATGATTTGGCCGATCAGACCAACATCGAGTACGGAACCATTCATGGAGGGAGCACCATGACTTTCTTCATGGTACGGTCATTTTTAGAATTTGTTGATATGGTTTTGCAAAATTTGTCTTTGTGTTTTCAGTTGAATTGATTTAATTATGTGTGTAATGAGAGTAAGTTGCGTTTCAAACCTGTTTGCTGTGAATTGAGTGAATGTGTTCACACCAGGCCTCTCTGTGCTCATCTTTATGGCTGGTTGTGTTAAGTGGCTGACTGCCTGTCTTTGGCTTTATGACAATGCTTCAGGCTTCTGAGTGGACATCTGTGTTTGTCAAAGTGTGTTTTGTCTGAGGATGTTGGTGTGTTAGCCGGTGGACGATTGAGTTTGTGAGTATTTAAAATTTGTCTGTTTACTCATGTAAATTTAGGGAAAAAGGCTACATTGTTTTTTACGCGTTAATGTTTGTCTGCATTGAGGATAAAGATGGTGTCTGTCTTTGCCAACATTAGCCAGTTCCAATGTTACAGCACATTATCTCACTCAATGATGCCTAATCTGCACAAACACACAAAAAAACCACATCATTACACTCAGACCGTCTTCTCTTTTCTCACATCTACAGCTGCTGCAAAAAGTTTCAGTCTTTTAATTTAACATTTGAAATCTGCATATATTTTAAACATTTATTAGCAAAAACTAAAATGTAAAAAATACATTATTAAATAAATCTAACATCCTTTGATTGCATCTTGTTTACTCTCCAGTGAACTTTTATCCAGTTTTCTGCTCATTTAGTTTCTCTTTTTTGTTTCTTCACTTCCTCTGACAGCCTTATTATCTTTACATCACAGTAACCATGGTGTGTGGATATAATGACAAAAAAGTTTTACTTCTTCTTTGGTCAGCTGTTGCGTAACGTATAAATTGTTTTTAACAGGTTATCAAAGTGAACTACACACATCTTTAATATGACTGGTCATGTAATGTTGGCATGGCATAATAAAGTCAACTGCATCGTTTTCTATCACCAAAGGCAAAATGCTGAAAATGTTGTTCATGTCTGTGTGTGTCTGTATCCATGGGTTAGCAAAATATCATACGAAATATTGGATGCACTTCAACAGCTAAATTATAAATAACCATTTTGGAGTTAGCTTGATTCAAGGTGGCCATCACAGCCATCTGTCACCAGATAACACAAAAACRTCTATATTTCAGTTGGTTTWACAGATATAGTGTACTGCTGAAACGTGGCATGTATTCTGAAGTCAATAAAAAGTACTTATCTCCACAAATCTTTCTGCAGAACTCGAGGTACCAGACGTATCAGCGAATGTGGAACTACATGAACTCCAAGCTGCCCAGTGTTTTTGTGAAAAGCACGGAGGAAGGCATCGCTCGCGTGCTCAACTCCAAGTACGCCTTCCTGATGGAGAGCACGATGAACGAGTATCATCGAGGCCTCAACTGTAACCTCACACAGATCGGAGGCCTGCTGGACACCAAGGGCTACGGCATCGGCCTGCCGTTAGGTAATAATACAGCAAACCCATCATCCCATGTTATGAATCTTTACTGTGTTATTTTAAATACAATCTGCGGTAAAGAGTTTCATGCTTGTATTTTGTGTGACAGCGGCACCTTTTTTTCTGAACACATGCCTCTTTAAAACTTTAAAAACACAATTTGTTTTGTGTCACTGCATTTGGGAAGTGCAACACAGATCCTGCTAAATGCTGCTGAAGAGTGAGGAAGCTGAGCAGTTGTGAATCCATCATTGCTCTGAGGTTGGGCGGTAAACTGCTCAAATCAGCTCAATACTTTATTGATAAAATGCAGGTCTAATCCAATACATGACATCTGTATTGTGACCTTTAAACCATAATCCACACAAACATCAACAGAGAGAATACATAAGGTGATTGTAACCTTTGAAGCCTGAAAAAAAATCCTCATTGATGCTTCTGCTTCTTTTGAAAACCTTCTTCACTCAAAACTCTTTAATTCATCATCATGTTTTGAATCTCTTTTAAATCTGTTTTCACCTGCCTCTTTCAAAAAGTAAAAGACAGCTTAAGTGGTAAAGAGTGGCTCACTGAATGTGATAAATTATATCTCTTTCAGTATCAAAAACATACTGATACAGCATTTATAGTGGAACATTATCTTCTGTTTTTACTTTTTACCTTATTTGTATTCATATTTATACTGCATCTTTAAATGAGACATTTCTTCTTATCTTGTCTTATTTGATATTTTTGTTGTTGTTTTTTTTAAAGAATTCAAGCTTTTTAGCTAAGAGCCAAATTTAGCAGAATGATAAAAACAAAATAGATGCATCTAACATCAGAAAAAACAAAAGCAAAAAAATACAAATACAAATACATCTATTACCTTTATATTAATAAAGAAAAATGTAAATGCGGAACAGTTTATGAAGGAAAATGTACAATGATTACAGAAAGATAATTAACGTAATTAACAAGAACGCTATGATGAAAAAATTTGACTCATTTAGACAAATAGTTTTGTTTTGTTTTGTTTTATGAATTCTGCTCTGACATGTCACGTGGAAGCTCTCCCTTTTTAATCCTTTAGCTCAAGGTTGACTTTCCTCAGAGAAGTTGAGCTCTTGTTATCTTGAAATAGCCAAGGACAAGATCATTAGTCTGGGAACTATTTACAGCTGAGAGTAAAGTAGGTCACCTATAGCCCCAGTGAACTCTCCAAGAAACAGAGTGGGCAATAATCTGCAGAAAACCGTGAACAGCAGACATTTCTGGCAGAGGAAGTGTGAGAGCGTGAACGAGCCGAGTGTTTCACGCGGGTGTGACGGGGGGCTAATCTCAGATCTTAATCTGTAAATATGACCAACAAAAGGAGCAGAGGACGGATTACAAGGCATTGATTGTAAAAGATGCAGAAACACCCACAAGAGATCAATTATGCTAAACAGACACGTGTACTTGTGACTGATTTGTGAGATTAAACTTGAAAAAAGCTGCTGCTGATGGAGTTTTATCTGTGGGATTAGTAAGCATTTGATCTGGTGGTAATGAACACAGTTGATTGCTTTTCAAATACTCAGCTTGTGTATTTTGCTTTTTTTCCCTTCTTCTTCTTGTTTTGGACGTATAGAATTAGCCAATGAAACATTGATCTGTTCTAATCAAGAGGTCAGCCATGGTTTCACTTTCTGTTATAGACTAATGGAAAACTAAAGAAGATACAAGGAACAAGAAAACAAACAGAAAAAAAGAGAATTGCATATTCTAAAAATAAAAAAAAACATATTTTTAGAAATGTATTTCTGGTTCAGTTAGATGATTGATTATTTGAAGGTTTTCTACATTGAATATAAAGCTGCAGATGAGTGATTCATACTCTGTAATGATTTGACTTGAACTAGAGATTATAACAAAGAGCAAGCTCATTATTCACCATAGATATGAGACAATAAATAAAACATGATGTTTCTGTTTGTTGTATTCTTCAGGGAGCAGTGGGTTACTGAGGAAAACAAGATTCAAGCAAATAGCCTCCCTCAGCCTTAGAGAAACTGTTTACATTTTACAAGATTTAAAAATATGTTTTAAACAATAAATATTGTTC